TCTTCCAAGGGGTCTCCTTGTCTGCTCCTCGCCGGAATTTTAGCTCTGCTTTTAAAATAATAGTGGTAGTAATAATGACAATAATAATAACGATGGTGATAATAATAACAACAACAATAATAATAACAACAACAACAATAGCAATAGGAAATGACAGGGAGAAAAATATTTCCCACCTGGAGGGCAGTGCAGGCTACAGCTCGGCAGTAATGCCCGCGGGAGGGGGCTGCGTTTTTGGGGTGTCAGACAGGCATCTGCTGGCAGCAGGTCGGGGTGCTTGGTCAACAGCAGCAATGTTTTGCAGCATGCCCAAGTCAGGTTTCTTGCTAGAGAGCAGAAAATAAAAAACAACTCTTCCAGAACTCATTCATCTCTTCTTCCCAACTCCACCTCCTTTGGTTTTGTTTTTTTTTGTTTTTTTTTTTTTTTAATTCACATCGAGTATATTTAATCAGTGCCAGAAACTGTGCAAGTCTCTGTTTGGGCTTTGGATCCACCAAAAATAGTGACAAATTCAAGCTGGGCTTGGTTTCAGCTTCTGGGAGTGCCTCTATCAGACACCTCGCGGCAGGGCATATGCATCCCCGACTTGTGTGCCTGTGCCCGCCTGCGAGGGGAAATGAGATTTTTGTCAGGATTTTACTTGGTGTGTCTGGGGCTGGGGGCGGGGGGGACACTTAGGGCAGAAGAAATCGGTGACAAGCCAGTTGATTGGGGATGGGACTGTGCCATGCAGGTTCAGATGAGGCTTCTGTCCAAAACAGGACAGTGATCACAGAACCACAGAATCACAGAATATTGATGATGTGATGCAGCTGGGGGCACTGAAGCATCTGGGAGGAGGCAGAGAAGCCACCTTGGGACGCGGTGAAGGGTGACGATGAGAAGCCACTTCTTTGAATTGATTCCTCCCTCTTTCTCTGCCTTCTCCTCCCCATTTTTTTCGGTGCCTCCAGCCGGGATGAGGCTCCCGGACGCAGGGCACACTGGCTGTGTCCCCACTGGGCTGCTTAGCAAGCCCTGCTGCAAGGTGATGATCTCCCCCGTTAGCTCTGTGTCCCTTGCACCTCTGTAACGAGAGCTTGGCTTCAGCTTCCCGCGTTTGGTTTTTTTTTCCCTTTTTTTTTTTTTATTTTTTATTTTTTGTTTTATCTCTTCCAGATGCCTCCCCATCCACCTCCGAGCAGCGATACCTCTTCGACATCTCCAGCCTGCCCGAGACGGAGGAGGTGACAGGCGCGGAGCTGCGGATTCTGCGTGCTCTCCCTGAAAACCGGAGCTTGGCCCTGTCTCCCGAAGGCACCTTCCACCACCTCCTCCTCTCCACCTGCCCAAGCCGGGATGGCGAGGAGCCCCAGCTGCTGGACTCCAGCGCTGCAGAACTTTTGGACATGGGCTGC